TTTTTTTTTATTTTTTATCCTGGTTGGCCTTATGTGACTTTTGCACATTCCTAGGGTACAATGAGCTTAAGGAATAAAAATTAAATAAGTGAGCCTTGTTCATTTAAAATTTTCAGACTGTTTTAAGCTAAGTTTTTCTCAATTAAATCAATGCAGCTTTTGCATGGAAATGAACTAAATTTTTCTTCTGCTTGTTTATTTTCCATTTTTGAGAATTCAAGATGTATAATTCATACATAAGAACTAATATAATTCATAATTTTTTTCCTCATCCAAGTCTTTGTTATACTTTTTTTTTTTGCTAAGTGGGAATAAATAGGATTATTTCAGACTTAYGGAATTCTAGATTCCTAGAATAGTTTAAAAGAGACATTAAAGACCATCTAGCTGTAACCTTCTAGTAAATCAGATTGCTCAATTTGCTTGAATAACTACTTAGTTAYTTGTTTATGCTAAATGGTTTGTTTTAATTTTTTAAAAAATATGTAATAATAACTGAAACACTGGTAGTCTGTGCTACATTTTAAAAGCTTAAATGGAAAGAATTTATCAGGTTTGTGTAGYGTAGTGATACAGTAATGAATAAAAATAGCCTGTTACAAGATGCTCTTCTAAAATGGAGCAGAGATCTAAACCTGAACTGTCTGCTTTGTATAAGTGATTTACATTTGATTTGCCTTAATTACATTGATTTGTTTTAATGTCCTCAATACTAAAGTTGATTTTATATCAAGAACTTTGAGTGACTATCAGGAAAAAGATGGAACAGAAGAAATATCTGAAGTATCTGTGAATGATGATTTCCCTCTCAATTAACTCTAGAAAGATTCATAAAAGTCATGGAGACCAGAACAAAATAAAAACCRATGTAAAATATTGCCTGAGAAGAAAAGCAAGAATATTAATGSAAATATTTGGGTGTAATAATCAGCAGAGTCTCAGAATAAAGRCTTTTATAATAGGTATTTGGGGAATTTATTAAACGTGATCTAAGTGTAAGTTCCTGTTAAGTAGTATACTTCTAGACATAGTCCTCTAGGAGGGGATATATAATTTTTCAGTTGCTTTAAGACAAGTTACCAGCGATTGAAAAATGTATTGTAGAAACAACTACTAGAAAATGGGGAGGCTTCTTCCACAGCTAAGGTGTGACTCTGCAGAATATGTGAAGTATAATGAGACAGTAGTGTTGGAATTACTATTAATTCCCTTCCTTCTCTCCAGGCTTCTGGTGCTATTTCAACAGATATTCTGTCACGGCAAATGATGCACAGAGGCACTTTTTCATGCTGTGGAGGATGTGATATCAGAGGTAAATTGGACAGTAACTTTTTCTTATTATTCCACCTTTCTCAATGTTTTTATTGCTCCAGTACAGTGAAAAAGATGTGTCCTGTAATTTGTGTTGCAGACCTGGTGGGAAAGATCTATTCTGTCCTATTTTCTTAAGTGACAGGAGCCCAAAGTGCTTTTCACACCAAAAGTTTTATAGCATTTTTATACAATAAAATCTAATCCATTGAATTATCTGGATTGACTGTTAAAGAGACTAGGAAGCTTCCTCAAAGTGTTTCCAGAATCCACACGTAGATTTACCCTTTTTGCTATCTTCACAAAAGAATTGTTTAGGTCTCTGGTTTATTTTTGCAAGCMAAGGCATGTTGGTCAAAATAATGGKTTAATGAGTTAAGTGTAWACTTGCACATATGTTCCTTTATATGATTTTTTGATGATAAGCTGACTGCTCAACTTTAACATTCATGTTTGAGTAATAATTAAAGACAGTGTGACCCTTATGAATGCTTCTAATATGTAAAAAAGCAACTGTGATGCTTTTTTGGGGAATGTGTGGCTATAAAAAGCCTGGAAAAATAGTTTCATGAGTAATGTTTTAAGAAATTAAAGCATAAACATATATATAACATAAWTTTTAGGATTATATTCCACAAGAATAATAATATTTTTCAGTACAGGTGAACTGATTTTAGTTTGGAGGTCCTGATTCTTCATTCCTTATTTAGCAGACAACCACAGAAGTMATTTCAGCAATCACCAGTGTTAATGGGACTGCTTGCAAGTAATAGAGACTATAGAAACAGACATAATGGTATTAACCATTGCCACATTATGCAGTTATTAAAAGGCATATTGTACACTTCTCCCAGATGAGAGAAGATGATCRTTTCATTATCCTGGAAGATGAGAAAGAAATTTGTTGTTTTGCAATAATATTGTCATATTGATTATTTTTCCTAGAAGATTATTACAAAACAGTTTGAGAAATGTGATCTTAGACTGTAAAACTAACATCCTATCATCTAGAAGATGAGCAGTTATTAGATAAATTTAGAACAAATAAAAATTAACTCTTTTTGGGAGTGGATATGCTGTGCAGAGGCCCATGTCCTAAGATGCAATTCTTTAGTTGCAATAATGATGCTTTTCCATGTGACGTAATAAAGAAGTTAGTAAAGAAGTGYTCATCTACAAAGTAAAAGCCAAAGATTCTTAAGCAATTTGGACTTTATAATTATTCGCTTATGCCAAGAGGAATAAGAGAATATGAGATTATAAAATATCAAGATGCAATAAACCTTCTTTTTCTTGYGCACTCTGGTATTTTTATTAGGATTATCCTTTCCTTAAAAATGTTTTGAAAATGAGAGCCTGCAGGAAAATTACAAGAGGATTATAATGTCATGTGTGGAGCCAAAGAAACTTTTATCAGTGGTGATGAGATATAGACTTCAAGTGATTCTAACGACAATTAATTGCTTCATAGCTTTTAATAATTAGGAAAAAAMCCCAAACATTCAAGTGAGTATATTCAGAGAGCAGGATCACTGTAGTGGCAATCCCCTRTGTTGGATCTAGGTCAGAAACTGAAAGAAAAAATTAAAGAATTCATTGAATTTGCTGAAGTTTGCAAATAGTATGTTTTAGTTTGACAATGAACTTTCTTGTTGGCAATATCTGTAGTGATAGTCCAAGAGGACTGGAACAGTGTTTGTAGGCTGGGAATTGTAMTGCTCCACTAGTATATTCTAAACCTACAGACTATGAATGAATATTAAACTTTGTCCTTATGTAAAGGCTGATAATAAGCTCAGAGTCCTTACAGTTCTTTACCTTTGGTTGTAAACTTTCTAATCTGTAATACATCCTAATTTTTTCCAATATCCAGGAATTACTGTTGTATATGTCCTGCCTGAAACATTGTGATAGCATGTATTTCCTCATAATATGGGTTACTTATGATTTTCTTGTCGTTGCTTAGTTACAATATTTTGATTGGAAAGAAACCTACACCAAAAAARATCTATTTATCATTTGTTTGCAGTTGTGACAGTTATTTGCAACCATGAATAATGCTATACCTGATCAATATTTTTACATAGGCAAACCTGAAAATATGATTTGTGATTTTATAAAAAACAGGAATATTTTAAACTCAGCTATACTGTTACAACCAAAAATTACTTGGCTTGCATAACAAAGAAACATTTAGCCTTTGTAAAAGTATTCATGCTCTTCTGCAACAATATTCCTTAGTTTTTAGRCACTGATTATAGAATTGTTTCCCACTAAGTTTGCTTGCTTGTGGCAAGGGAAACTGTCACCATTACTCAGAAAATATTTCACCTGAGTATAACTGGTTTACAAGGTTTGTAGAAGAAAGAATTCAGTATCCC